AATACAAATCACATGCAATAGAGACAGACAGACAGACAGACAGACAGACAGACAGACAGACAGACAGACAGACAGACAGACAGACAGACAGACAGACAGACAGACAGACAGACAGACAGACAGACAGACAGACAGACAGACAGACAGACAGACAGACAGACAGACAGATAGACAGACAGATAGATCCGCCCATCCTTATCTCCTCCGCTCATTAACTGATGATTAATCCCCTGCCCAGCTTAAGCCCATAACCTCCACACACACACAACTGGTACACTCACACTTACTCCCTACTCCCGCTCACAGTCCCTCACACTGGAAAACAATCTCTTACATAAAATAAATCACGTACTCAAAACAGCCCAAACTAATATATTTTATATAAGACATATATGGATGGGGAGATATTTCTTATTTGAACCAAAGGGACAGAACTGGCACTTTGGAAAGTGAAGGTTGAAAGAGGTTAAAGTATTCCATATCCACCCACACAAGTTTCGATTTAGGTTCAGGTTCATCTAATCAAGCGTAAATTCATAGCAATGTGTTATTTTTTGGCAGCTCAGTAATGTAGAGTGAATGTAAAAACAATTTTAATTTGTAGCCTCATTTCTTATTAGCTAAGCAGCAAACATCATGATCCACAACTGCTGTATTAATCTGAGGAAAAACTAAAGTCTGTATGGATAAAACATCAAAACAACTTTACACAAGAAAACAAGTAATGAAACCACATTTTTATGCCGGGTTAATGTGAGGAGCTTCCTGCTGTAGCTGCTCTTTCCCATCCTTAGCTACCAAGGAGCCGATCGAACTACACCTACACTCTCTAAAAAAAGAAAAGCAAAAGCAGTAGTTGTGGAAATACTACTGTGGTGAGAAAGAAATCAGTGTTCCCCAAAACTTGAATGAATAAGAACATAAATAACATGTATAACCGCTATGGAATATACTGTATGCTGTTGACGTTAGGTTAAAAGATAATAAATCACACACAACTATGTTTGTTTGTGTTGCATTCAGCTACATCTGGCACATATTGGCTGTAGTGTTTGGAACCAAATGAAAGTGGACAGAGGAGAAATAGATCATGCTGCAGGAGAGGTTGAGGAAGTTGCAACTACTTTTGAAATACTGATTTTTATTTGACTTGTTTTTTTATAAATGCCTTTTTTGACCACATAATTTTCCAGTCAAGTTTGAGCAGAACTCAAGCACAATGTAAGCACTTTGTAGAAGTAAAATATATATAGTTTTATATATATATAATATATATATAGTTTTTTTAATATAGTTTTTAAGTCCCCTGCCTGAAATAACACAAAGAGTGTGTTTAAGTATTGGACAAAATGTTATATGAATAAGGATTAGATAGAACAACACTCGACTACATGTTCTACAAGCACCCTCATAACCTTGTAAACTAAGGATGAAATGAAATGTTCATCCCTATACAGTACATATAACCTTTGCAAAACAATTTTTACAGCGCAGATGAGGTATTTACAGTGACCAAACAAATGATTAGACAAACAAAGAAGAAAACATTCATTAATGACACATTACAGATGCTCTCATCTATAAAAGAAGGAAAGAGCAGTGTGTCTTGTGACAATGTGAAGCTGAACAAACATCCACTACGTCTTGAGTGATGACTCTGAGAGCGTGAATAATCCCCATCTGTTGAGGGAACATGCAAGGTTTCTTGTCTCTCACTATACACACACACACACACACACACACACACACACACACACACACACACACACACACACACACACACACTAATTCTGTCCTTTCCCCGCTCAGAGACCCAGGTCGTCGCGCGCATCTCTGCTTGTCTAGCTGACATCTCTCAGTGGATGTCTGCTCACCACCTCAAGCTCAACCTTGACAAGACTGAGCTGCTCTTCCTTCCGGGAAAAGATTGTCCCACTCTTGACCTAACAATCAACATCGGCACCTCAGTTGTTTCCCCGACTCAGACTGCAAGGAATCTGGGTGTGATCCTAGATAACAACCTGTCCTTCACTGCAAACATTGCTGCTACAACCCGTTGCTGCAGATACACGCTTTACAACATGAGGAGGATACGTCCCCAGCTGACACAGAAAGCGACTCAGGTTCTGGTCCAGGCTCTCGTCATCTCACGCCTAGACTACTGCAACTCCCTCCTGGCTGGTCTACCTGCATGTGCCATCCGACCTCTGCAGCTCATCCAGAATGCAGCGGCTCGTCTGGTCTTCAACCTTCCTAAATTTTCCCACACCACTCCGCTCCTCCGCTCCCTTCACTGGCTTCCGGTAACTGCTAGAATCCACTTCAAGACACTGGTACTTGCGTACCATGCTGCGAATGGATCTGGCCCTTCGTACATCCAGGACATGGTTAAACCGTACACCCCAGTGCGTGCACTACGCTCTGCATCAGCCAAACGACTCGCTGCGCCCTCGCTGCGAGGGGGACCCAAGTTCCCAACGGCGAAAACACGTGGGTTTGCTATCCTGGCTCCAAGATGGTGGAATGAGCTCCCCATTGACATCAGGACGGCAGATAGCTTGCACATCTTCCGGCGCAAACTGAAAACTCATCTCTTTCGACTCCACTTCGAGCGATATAACTATTAACGAAGCACTTTTATACTAATAAAGGACTGGCTTTTCTAAAGCCAGTTGAGTAGCACTTGAAATGTTTTTGCTCTATGAAGCCTGATGTACTTATATGATTCTGTTTTCTTCAAGTTGTATTTTGTTGGACGAACGCACTTATTGTAAGTCGCTTTGGATAAAAGCGTCAGCTAAATGCAATGTAATGTAATGTAATGTAACACACACACACACACGCAAAATCCCCCATGAAGCTAAAACGGCCCCTTGCCTCTCAAGGAAAAAAGTCAATGTTTGCATTGCTTTCCAAATGTTCCTTAGGACAAATAAAACCTGCAGTGGAATAATTTTCGGGGAAGTGAATAAAAGCACACATTTAATAGAGCATGAGCTTTGCCTATAGATATTTTAATCTTAATTTTTGGACACTTATATGTCATTTATTCAGACTTTATTTGTTCTGTATAGCTTTTTTTCTGAATGCAAACACAAAAACCTAGTTCTGGGGTTAAAAGGACATTACAATCAAAACAATGGTTATAGTTAAAAGAAACCCTTGTTGATGGTAGGCTGGAAACGGGAGCAAGTCCCACATGAACTAATAAAACACTCAATGGCGTGTAATACTGTGTTCATGTCATATTGTTCACACATATTCTCAAGCAGCCAGGGGGCAAAACCTCTGACCCTCTTGACGTAAACAACTTGATGGGTGTAAACAAACTAGTGGCAAAAAAGCAGCAGTGACCCCGTAACTAGGAATTATGTTAAATTGAAGTCAAATCTAATTGTATGTTTAATGTAATCTCGACAGCTGACTAAGAAAGAAGCTAAACACTGTTTGTTGTATCTTGTTTTTACTTGAACCCCAAGTAACAAAACAAAATGTTGGTTACCTTAAAGCTAAATCATCTTGAACATTTTAAATAAAAAATATTACATTAATGCAGAAGAAATGTCTGAATTAACTGGGTTCACCAGATTTAATGTATTCATAAAAATGACACGTTTACTGTTCAAACGCACTTCCTCACTGTCTATTCACCTCAGGGCTGCTCTTGCACCTTCGGGAGCTGCTGTGACACAAAGAGGGATGACCGGCTGTGTGTGTGTGTGTGTGTGTGTGTGTGTGTGTGTGTGTGTGTGTGTGTGTGTGTGTGTGTGTGTGTGCGTGCGTGCGTGCGTGCGTGCGTGCGTGCGTGCGTGCGTGCGTGCGTGCGTGCGTGCGTGCGAGCGAGCGTGCGTGTGCATGTGCCTGTGTGTTTGTGTGCGTGCACCAGTAATTGTGTGTTTCAACAAAACAATGAAACCCAACACATCCATCCGAATATTGCCGGGAAAGTCTTCTGACGCAACGGACACGTCAAGCCAATCACACTCGAGCAGAGGTGTTGTGTCTAGCCTTTGTGTGTCATCCGGCTGATGACAAGCAGTGGCACGAGCAGCTCAGCACAGTGCATGAGTGTGACAACTCATCTATCTGCAAGGGCTTGATACCACTAGGAGTGAGGAAGTATGAGAATTAAAATTCAATACTTTCAAGTGTTGTGGCATCAATGACGTGCAACAGAAAACCTGTTCTGAATGTTCTCACTGCTTCTAACTGCATAATGGTTCACACCAGTAAACAAATAATACTATGTTAAAACCTTTTTGATGCCTGGACTGGAGTTGTGTTCAATTTGCTGAATTGTGGCAAGATATTACAGAAAATAGTAATGGATTGAAACCTTCATTGTACACTTACTACACTATGACAGCTTCACTGCTAATGTTTTCTCTGCCATCACCCAATCACCTCTGTTCTGAGTGCTTCCACCATGACGCTTTCTATCTCGACCACACACTAGCTACGCCAACACTGTACATTGAGCTATTCCAAGCATGAAGCTATTAAGCATCTGTTCTACAACATACGCATTAAACTGTGCCAACACCCATGCGTCACTAAAACTCCAGGTTTTAATCACATATACATGAAAATAAAGTTATACCAAAAAGCTGTGGCACCGAAAATCACAATTCCTAAGAGCTCAACCTCCACCAAATCTTTTAAAATAGACTTTCTGGGTTGAGCTTTATGAGTGGAGCAAGAAACACATTTCACATCCACAATAAACATGTCTGATTGAGTTAATTGATTGCGGATGTTACAGGTTATGAAAAGGTTACAAACAGTATAGCAATTAGCTCAACACACACTTATACGGGAACAGAAAACACACATTTTCTGGCCATTGTGTCACTTCTGATCCATAACCGCACCCTTGAAATCCCACAGATCTGCATTATCAGACTTTACTGGCAGTCGTGTGTAATGGTGGAGGAACAATATACTTAGGAAAACCACAGTTCATCCATTACATCGCCCAAGCCTTTTCCATTGCCACTCACCAGTTCTTGGTTGGTAGAGTTGGAGTCGTCTCCAGGGAAGGGGATGTAGATGGCTAAGGCCACACAGTTGGCAAAAATAGACAGCAGTATAAATATATCAAATGGTCTGAGAAAAGAAACGGTTAAGGAACATATTTATCTCAAAGAAAGATAGGAATTAAACATATTATGGTATAAGGTTTTACCTACTATCATACCCTAATGACAGATGTCTGTAGTTGTGTGTGTTTTGATTACCTCAGCAACCCTTAAACGAATCGACTTCACGAATCAAGTGTTGCTGAGGACCTGATAAGGTGCAGTGCAGCGTGTTAAGTCATTCACGTCATCAGCAGTTCTTAGAAATCTGTGAAAACCTGGTCCCCCCTGCAGATTTTGGACAGCCCCTGCCATAAGTGCAAATAGACGTCCGGCAAAAGCAATATTTGGGACATCTCAACAACAACAAAAACTCGCCTGTTAGTGCCATTACGTTACCACTGATAGTAATATAAGGATGTGTTTAAAGATCTCATATCATGCTATTTTTAGGCATATATTATGGGTCTTTTTAATAAATAAAAAACATGTCTATGATGTGTTGTGCTCAAAATACTAAACAGATCATACATTGTAGACATCCCTCATATCCCTCTATTTCAGCCCTGTTACTAAAGTGCTGATTGTGGGTCTAAAGCTTTATAAAAAAAATAATAAATAAATAAATAGGTCACTCACTTCAAAACCCAAGAAGCAACAACAAGAGCACATCCTGTCTGCAAATTGTTTCCATTGTAGTTATAAAGTTATGGATGATTATTCTACTGGCATATTAAGTTAATTAAAAGATGCATTCATTTATTTACCTCCCAAACACCTATTCACGAGGGTATGAAGCAATCTATCCGTACAAACAAGCATAACGCAGACAACCAAGCATCTGCCATCCATCTATCTGAACCAGAGCCCCTGTGTTGGGGTTAAAGGATACTTCCACTCCACCAGGCTGATGCAGGCCCTGCGGATCGGGTTGTTGAGGGTGAGGCAGAACAGAGCTCGGGGCGGCCTGCTGTTGGTGGATCCTCCCTGCTTTTTGCTTTTGGCGTACTGCTGCCTCTTCCTTTGCGCCAGTGAACCTGCAGGAGCTGGTACAGTGGTGCAAACTGAGGGCTGTGGCCTCATGTCGGGCTTTTCATCATCGCCCTGCGCTTGGCGAGCAGCGCTAATGGCGGCATGCCAAGCGATGACCGAGCTGACCCCGGTAACAGGGTCACCGGGGTCCTGACTGCCGAGGAGGCCAGAACAGGAGCCGACGGGCCTCCCCGTGCTGGGCGGGGCCTGCAGGGGCTCAGGTGGATGGTGCAGATGGGTGTAGTTCTCTGACCAGGGATCAGCGGAGGGAGTGGTCCTTTTGTTGCTGGCATACTGTGCCCCTGGAGCGAGAGGGTGTGACACAGATACAAATTGGTTTAACATGTTAAAACTGTTGGTGTGAGTATAAACAAAAACACATCATGTTACCATGCTGATGATTTGTCAGTGGATTTCAGGAATCTAGCTATCTTTTTATAGCATTAGAACAATTAAACAATCGTACTGTAAATACAGTCTTGAAGTTGCCCTCAGTCAATTTCCCAAAAGAATCATGTACAGTAGCTGCTTATGCTTTGATTGTGATGCAACCACCAGGGGCACCACATTCTACAGATAGCATCTTTAACGTTTAAAACTCCAAATTATATATTTCAGGTACCACATATTTAATGATGTATAATGCTGAAAATATATTTGAATATGTTTCAATAGTGACGTTACAACACATTTATATTTATAAAGGGCTTTTTCTAACAAGTGGCACAACATGTGTGAAAGCTGAGGTGATTACAATGAATTGTGACCAAAATACGTTGGATCATTTCGAAAAAGAAATGAAAATGCTGGACCACGTGTCCTAAAATATATTTTTGGAATAACTATAAACATTGTTACGAAAGAATATCTGCAATAAGCTCAATTGTGCTGATGATATCCATGGTAAACCATCAATCAGCCTGTAGTCTGCACTGATACCATTCATTGGTATAGAAAATATGATGCTCTCTATACATCACACAACACAGTAATTGTCTCATGACTCATAAGCATATTGTGCTTCTTACAACAAAGGGGAAAGACAAGCAAAGAAACAAACATTGTTGAATCCGTTTTTTTTTTCTTTACAGTGCTCACTTGCTGCATTTAATTAATGATGTGTATATCAATTCCAAATACAAGTTTTACATTTGTGTAAGGAAAGAATTGCCAGAATTCACTTGATGCAAAGTGGAAAATATGAAGTGCTTTATTTAGGTGACTGAATACTCATTGTGTCATTTATATGGATTGGTTATTTTCCATGAAATACATGTTTTGCAAAACTTATGCTGAAAATGAGATTTAGAAATAAGTTGACCAGACAATATTTTTGTTGGAGATAACAGGACAGCCTGAATGAGAGAGACAGGGAGAGTCATTCAAATCAATTCAGACCACGAGTGAAACAAACATTGCCCTTGACACAGTCACTTTAGTTCACTGTAGTTCCACAGCTGAGCAGCATGATCCCAGCTAAACAAAATGTTGTCATCCAACCAAAACAGCTACGCTACAGGAACAAGTCCAAAACACTGACCATTCATCAGAACTGTAAAGGCACCAGGGATCTGAAAACCGACTGAGAGAGAGAAATATGAAGCAACTGAAAGACTGTTGATTATATAAAGCTATTTACATCTTTAATAATTGACCTGTTACCTGAATGCAAGTGATTCATTCATTCATTCACAATTCCCATCCAACATGAATGAGGAGGATTTCCCTAACCCTAACTCTCCCACTCCGCATCATACCATCACCACAGGTGCAAAAACAGCATCCGAAGCCATTCATTTAATGATGATCACAGCCTCTCTGACATTTCTGGGATGTAACACAAATAATACCAGCAGCTCGGCTTCACATCTGCCACACTTTACTGGATAACAACTGTTGAATCTGCTGTTGTTCTCGACTATCCCCTGTGTTGGCTTGATTTTAAACAAAAAAACACAGTGTGTGGAACACGTAAACAGTGATGATTAAAAACTGGATTCAGGCTACTTGAAAAGTGGATTTAGTGTCACTCAGTTGATAGTGAAGTGCACAAATCCAGAGCACCCTCCACACGCTGTCACATGGTTCCAAAGAGACCACTTGGCCAAAAATATTAGACCAAACACAGTCAACCATTTTTTCTGAGAACTAGCAGCGACTCGTTTTGCCAATGGATTTGATGACTGCTGTCATTACAATCACGCAGACTAGAACAAGCGCGTACAATCTCAATAATCAATCTGTGGACTAAAATAAGTTGGGTAAAAATCCTGGACACAGACACGACTCGGTTCATTATAATCTGAAAATAAACAGACATCCAGAGAATAAAGCAGTGCGCCCACTCTCTCGCTGCGCTCCAACTCTCCTCCTGCGCTCCACGCACGGTTTTTTTTTACCTTCAGACTGTTCATCTGCTTCTTGCATCCTCGAATCCACATTGAAAAAATGCGTTTTAAATCCAACTCATCGTTGGAAGAATAACATCCAAAGATGTCGACGCGCGAGCCTGAAAACCGTTATCCTGAATTATAAAATGTTTTCCGAGCGCAAATCCTGAGAGGAGCGCCAAACATTTTCGCCACATCCGGGTGCCCGCCTGCAGATTCACGGCGGATCGGAGGGGACGCGATGACAGCAGCACATCCACTGTGTCTGTCAATAACTCACTTAGTCTGGGGATGGACAAATTAGACGTTAGAGCAATCCACTGCAGCACATCCAAACTGGGTTTGCACCTGTTGCAGCCCAGTTAAGACAAGGCGCGCATAATACATCTTAACTCAATGTTGAAGTCTGGCAGGATTACCACATTATTTCAGAGGCAATGTTTGAAAGAATTAAAATAATAACGAATATATTGGATTTTATGTCAATGGAGACGAAATCCATCTTTAGGCTATAACAACGGACGAGATGACAACTAACAACCAGAACAAGAACATCATTATTTAACTTATAAAGTCTATGTGCACGTTTCTATAACAGGTCTAAAAACATGGTGTCTTTAAATTAAGTATCCTATGTCCAAACTTGATACGAATCATAACAACAACGTTCAAAAGCAGGATTTAAGAACATGTGATTAATATTTCTAATCTGTAGTTCTGTTAAGAGTCCAATGCTGTGCAGTCACATCGCAGCCCACTGATAATGCAAAATAAAGCATTCAGATCAGTGTTATTGTAGCCGAATATATATTACTCTGACTTTCCCCAGTCAGGGTATTTCTGGCTAGCTAGATAAACACCATGCTCGTATCCTGTCCATTACCCGTATTATACCCGGTCCTTTCACTTACCACTCCGGGGTCTTCCCCTTATAATGAACGGCATGTCACCTGGCTCTTCTCAGGGTCCTCATGGCGTCGTTTTCTGCCCTCACTCCGCGGCAATTGGATAGTAAATGAATTGTAGGAGCTGTGCTAGAAGGTTACCACTGAGTGGATTACCTGTGCCTGTATGGGGATAACAGTTTCACGGTAGCACGTAATCCTCCCATTATAATCTCTGCTCCAATGTCCCCAACAGGGGCAGGTGAGGCAGGCGGCTGCAGCTGGACCAGATGACAGAGCCGATAATTGGATGTTTTTTCATTTTAAGTTTGTGTAATAGTTTAGAAGTTTTCCTTCGAATAATTACAATGAGCAAATCCGTGAGTTAGTTTTTACAATTTAATTTCCTTCAGTGCGCACTCTTCATATTCAACATTGCAGCGCAGCCATGTGGTGTTTATACAACATGAATACACTGTTAATACTGTTTCTACAGGTGCATGGCCTTTGATTCTTAAAAATATATAGGGCCTAGCCTATATTCATTTGCTTCACTTTATCATTGTAATTGTCAAATGTGTGTCACAACTTTAGGCTTATTTTATGTGCAGCAGATGTGTCTTGCGAAGAAACGAATTTACGGCGTTAGTTGCTATTTGTTTAATCTAATTTAATTTAGACTAATCAAATTAAATTAAACACAAACGCGCGCACACAAACGCGCGGACGAACACACAATCACGCACACAGACAGACGCAAACACAAGCAATCAGCGAATTATTTAGCAAAAACATTGTCCATTATTGCTGGAATCTAAAAGAATATAATCAATGTAGGACTACTTTTAATATAAATATGTTTTTCTTTAGTAATAAGGCTCTCAGAAACTTTTTGACAGCAGTGATTTCCGGGGGCAGCGGAAGTTGTGAGTGTGTCTTCAGAAACCCGTCCGTGTAGGAGCAACAATCACATCCAAGATGGAGACCGTAAACGCTGGACAAATGATGAGTTTAGCAGCTCTACAGAGACAGGACCCATACATAAACAAACTGCTGGATGTTACCGGACAGGTGGCTCTCTACAACTTCAACTCCAAAGCCAACGAATGGGTACGTTTGTTAGAAGACCTTCACAAGTGTGCTAAGTATTATTTAGCATGCTAATGCTAGCTCCTTGAGAAAAAAACATTGGGAAACACTAAGAAATACGCTAGTATTTGTCAAGATTCGACTTATTGACATGTGTTCACAAAATATCTGGATAGTGTTTTAGTATTCTGTGTCTGTTAACATTGAGTTTTCGTTACTAAGTTGGTGTTACATAAGCAAACATAAGTTAGCAAGTGAAGCCACAGTCAGTCTCTGTTTATTATTCAGCAAGTTTTTGACTAGCAATTGTTGTTTTCCACACCTAACGTCCCTTTTTATAATTTCAGGAGAAGACCGAAATCGAAGGCACCCTGTTTGTTTATGCAAGGTGAGAATATGAAGTGTTTGGTAATGTTAATAATTTAAGGCTCTATTTGAAGGTTGTTTACTTGTTCAGAGTTACGTCGCACTGCCAGTTGACGTATTGTGCGCACGTGTATAGGCCGCAGCCTGTAAACAAACATTTAAAGATGTTCATTATATACAACATCTCGTTTCCTTTTCATTTTTTCTTCTCATTACAACCTGCTGCACAATTGTTGTCTCCCTTATATTTTAAATGTCCATAGGTTCATAAATGTATACTATGTCATGACGTTCGTTCCTACTTATTCAATTAGTTCAACTAAAAATAAACATCCTCTAGTAACTTATCGTAACGTTGTTTTAAAATATGTTAATATAAAATAACACATTACTTTTATTTCGATTAAACTAAATGATTGATAAATAAATACAAAAATGCCTGTATGTCACTGTTCTTTATCCCTATTCATGCTTTTGTTTCAAAATGTACATCATTTGTAATAGTTGTGTAATCATTTCTATCTGTTTACTGTTCTTTTCAATATTATTTTTTTTCAGTACTTCAAAATAGTTTGCTAGTGTTTGGTCATGGAAAAGTGAAAAACAGATTGTGAAGCTTTTACTAAGTAGAGTGAATTTAATATGGAGGTGGTTGTTGTGTGTCATCTCAAAGTGTTTGCTATCCCTGTGCGTCTCTAAGGTCTGCCACGCCTCACCATGGCTTCACCATCATGAACCGACTGAGCACAGAGAACCTGGTGGAGCCGATCAACAAAGACCTGGAGTTCCAGCTGCAGGATCCCTTTCTGCTCTATAGGAATGGCAACTGTGAGTATTTTGTAGAAGGGAAGTTATCATACTGTAAACAGTTTGCTGTATACAGTACAGATATATTTCGGTGTCAGGGCCGACTGAAATGAGATGTAATGCCAGATTATTATTATTCAAATCCAATTTGCAGAGATGTAGGTCAACCTCAGCCCCATTCTAATGCCTGTTTCATTTTCAAATCTGCAACATGTGAAATGTTTAAATTGAAGAAGGCCCAAGGGCAGAAAAGCCATTGGAGATTAAGATCGATGAAAAGCCAGTGTGCTACTTTGACAAGTTCTTCCCGTGATCAGCACTCTTTTTGTTTAGAGGGCAAAAATACAACCCCTGGTGTGCGTTTTTATTTTCCTAAAAATAGTGTGAAAACCTTGTGGATTCCTGTGGGAAAATTGCTTCTGAGATGCAGAATCTATTTTTGCTCAACTACTATCAACAACTGCCGTATGACAGAAGATTCTGTCAAAGAAATGTCCATTCTTTGCACACTTGACCGGTAGACAGCTGTGTGGCTGACATTCAGTATCATACATTAGGGCTGCACGATATTGAAAAAAACTGACATTGCGATATATCTTTTTTTCCCCTGCGATATATATATATATATATATATATATATATATATATATATATATATATATTGCGGTTTTTTAACTATATTTAACCGGATGAAGGATTTTAGTCACGGACGTCTGGATCTTAACTGGTTGACTCATCATACCTTAAGTCATGATCTAACATGTCATGATAATGCATGCTGCTTACCCTCAAATAAGGGCGTTCATCTGTGAATGAAGAAGAGAAGAACCTTTTTGTATCCAAAATAGTTCCAGATGGCAGATGTTGCTTTTCTTTTTGGAAGTAAATCTTCATTCTCGCCGGTATTGTCCTCCTGTTCCTCGCTCATTTTTTACCGGTGTTTTGATGGTCTACAAACTAGCGGGGCGGGGCCTGCTGTGATCTGATCAAGAATGATTGTGATTGGTGGTTTGCTGTGCATGCAGAGCCTGCATGTCACTCACTCAAGTACCCCTGACATGAGAGCCGCGCAAGTTTTCCTTTTGTAGCAAGCAGCAAAAGAATTGTAACATGACGTGTTTGAGTTAATTTACCTACTTAATATCGCACGTCCTAAAATACAAAAAATGAAAGAAAAAATATATATGAATAATACAAGTGTGTGTGTGTGTGTGTGTGTGTGTGTGTGTGTGTGTGTGTGTGTGTGTGTGTGTGTGTGTGTGTGGTGTGTGTGTGTGTGTGTGTGTGTGTGTGTGTGTGTGTGTGTGTGTGTGTGTGTGTGTGTGTGTGTGTGTGTGTGTGTGTGTGTGTGTGTGTGTGTGTGTGTGTGTGTGTGTGTGTGTGTGTGTGTGTGTGTGTGTGTGTGGGTGTGTGTGTGTGTGTGTGTGTGTGTGTGTGTGTGTGTGTGTGTGTGTGTGTGTGTGTGTGTGTGTGTGTGTGTGTGTGTGTGTGTGTGTGGTGTGTGTGTGTGTGTGTGTGTGTGTGTGTGTGTGTGTGTGTGTGTGTGTGTGTGTGTGTGTGTGTGTGTGTGTGTGTGTGTAGTGCACCTGGGAGCACGGGAGGTAATCAAGCTATATATGTGGGCACAGGTGATCAGCTGGGATGAGAGGTTAGAGAGGAAGCCTGAGTGTGTGCGTGATTGTTATGTTTTAACCAAGCTTTTAGATAGGCCTAAAAGAACATTTTAACATTGAATAAAGCATTACAAATTACGTCATGGTGGACCTCATCCTTCACCACAACATGCGTTGGGAACTGACTGCTAACCTCCATGAGTGGCCTTTTTTGATGAGCGATCGCCGCTACACTTGTTGAAAAACAGCTCCAATGAATGAATCAAAGGATCTCGGACGGAAGAAGGAGCTGCTGCGCTCCCACACAGCTCCAGGTGATTGCTGACATGTGAACGCTGTGAAAGCCACGAGGAACTACGGTAGGATCGTTCAGAATTGTTACAAGCTGTGAAAGACCTTCTCAGATCAGGATAAAGGTAAATCCTGCGACAACTCTAAAATAAAACCTCCCGCAGCTGCTGCTGCGTTACTGTCAAAATGAGCCAAGATGGGAGTCGGCCTAAAGCGCCTGCCACTCAAAGTGATACAGGGAGTGGGCTCGGTAAAAGACAGCCTAAACTCACTGTTAAAGCATTGGAATTAAAAATAGCTTCAATTCAACATGAAAGGAATTCAGGGATAAAGAAACTGCATAAATTAACAAAGGATGTTGAACAATTGATACTTTCAAGCCAAAATGTGTCTGAGGTGGAATCCATGTGTGAAACGTTTGTGAAAACAATGATGGAATTAAATGAGTTGCACGAGTCACTGAAACCATTAATACCAGAGGATGAAGTTATAAAACAAAATGAATGGTTTGAAACACGAATGCACGGCAATCGAGAAATGATGAATAAAATGGAAAGGTGGTTGCAAACTACAAAGGAGCAATTTACACATGCAATTGATGATGTGGTAAATGTCAACGCTGCAACCAAAACTGATGTGGTAATTGATGATATTTGTCCAAATGACAGCGTTTCTACTGTAACCAGAAGAACATGCACATCAGCTGGCCGCTCCAGCCAGAGGTCCAACATATCATCCATCTCGTCTGCATGTATCAAGGCGGAGGCTGAAGCGGCTGCTCTCAGTGCTATGGCGGCTATCCTCAAAGAAAAACATGCACTGGAGTGTGAAGAGCTTAGCCTCGCAGCAGCCAGAAAGTGTGAAGAGGAGCAGATCAGACAACGCAAGGAATGGCTTGAATTGCAAAGTGGAATTGCTGCCTATACAGCATAGGCCAATGTGCTCAGGTACAGAGGATCTGAGGTTCAAAGCTCAAGGGCTGTTTCAAATGGAATGAGTTCATATCTAGACAGAGCCAAAAGGAAAATCTCTCTTAGACCATCTGCTACAGAATTCATCCCATAAGGTTCAGAAGGTCAGTTCAACCCCTCACCAAAAGGGGGCAGCAGAGCTGTAGTGTCAGTGGAGACTCTGCACAAGGACGCAAACTTGCAGTACCATAATCCTACAGAAGAGGATAGGCACGTTGCTCTGTCAATGGGTGCGCGCCCCAAAGATTCAAACCAGCAGTTGCATCATCCATCAGTAGGTGGCAGTAACACTCTATTGCCAATGGAGGCATTCACAGCCACAACAATACCAGAAGGAAATGGATCTAAAGCCTATGAACTCAATCCCACGTCATCTCAAGTATGTCAGCAGACATTCTCTGCCACACAAGTCACTCATGATCTTGACACACATTTGGGTTCAGTGCAAAGTAACGTGAATCAAGGCAACATTATCAACATCATGCAAAGGCAAAATGATATCACAGCTCTGCTGGTGCAGCAACAGTCAACATTGTCACTGCCACCAAGAGAAATACCAACCTTGATGGAGACCCTTTGGAGTATAGTGCATTCATACGAGCATTTGAACATGGAGTGGAAGCAAAGACTGCTAACAATGTTGATTGCCTTTACTTTTTGGAACAATACACCAAGGGACAACCCAAAGAACTGGTTAAAAGCGGTCAACACATGCCACCCGACCGGGGATACCAAAGAGCAAAGACACTTTTGAGAGAACGCTTTGGAAATCAACAAATAATAGCCACTGCATACATGGAGCAAGCGCTTGGATGGACACCAGTGAAAGCAGAGGATGTTAAAGCTTTGCAAGCTTTTTCTTTGTTTCTCCGTGTTTGCTGCAATGCCATGGAGGACATAAGCTACATGTCAGAGATGAATATGCCAACTAACATGCGGGCGATGATCTTAAAGTTGCCCTATAAAATGAGGGAAGGATGGAGACAGGGCTCTCGACTAACTTTTTCCACCATCCTCCCGGAACCGTCCCGAAATACAATCCAAGCCGTCCCGAAATTAATGTGGACCGTCCCGAATTTAAAATGTTAGTTTTTCTACATTATCATTAGTTAAAATCATTCAAAGTGACCTTTAACATAAATAAAACATCATACAAATCATTAGATGATAATTCATTAACCTTTTTATTTGAGTAAATCATTCAATCACATAAACAAAGGCCAAATATATTTAAACAAACACACAAACGAGAAAATTACTCTAATATTGAATCCAATCAAGTCCCATCCAATTAACAAAAAAATCCAACACTGTCCTGAAGACAGAACCCAGAGTAACCACTAACCAGGATGACAGTCTGTAACACAGTCAGGAGACCTTTACAAACGGCCCCGCCCCCTCGCACACAGACGGGAGAGAGAGATCTCGTCTGGATTGGAAAGCTCGAAAATACATCATAGACGCATGTTGTAGTCTTATTGCATATTAGAAACGGAGTTGGCGAAACTAAAACTGCGATATAATGTGTATGTAGCAATAATACATATGACATATATTTTTTTAAATGTCTCCAGTACCGATAAAAAAGTCCGATACGTCGGAGCTTAACGTTACCACTGTCTTTAATAATTCCGGCCCGGGGCCCGTTTAACACCGGGGCTCGGTACCCATCCCTACATGGGGAGAGGCAGCATATTGCTAAGGACTAAATACGATGGAGGGTTCTCTTCTCAGCCTTATTACCCATAGGGGATGAATAGGAGTAGGCTAAGTAAATAAAGAGGCCGGCGCTCCAGGGTCTGGTTCTGCTGTGCGTTTTTGTGATGTAACGGTAAAACATTTCAGAATTCCTCCACGGGATGCCATTGTCATTGTACATCACTCAACCCGCGAAATACACACACTCGGTACATAGCTAGACCCGCAAATTTGCGGGCCAGGAATTCGCGGGTACAGCCAGCTGTGTGGCTGGCTGACAGCCAGCGGCACAGCTGTAGCCACTTACATTGTGTGCGTGTGTGTGTATTTCGCGGGTTGCTAAATGTTTTGTGCGTGTGTGTTTATGTTGACAATGAGGTTTAATAACTGTGTGCTACACAAAACGTGCAGTCGGTTTCATTTTCATCGCCATTTGTAGTAGAGTTAGCAGGGTATTTTTATTTTAACTCTCGTCCCAAATTCGTCCCAAAATTATTTTGTATCCTCCCCGACACTATTTTTTTCGACGACGGGACGTCCTTAAGCTCGAGCCCTGGATGGAGAAACCTTGCTTACGAGCTACAGGAGAGGAAACAGCAAGTTTCAGCGATATTGTCAAGTTTGTTGAGTGACAAGTATCTATTGCCTCTGATCCACTGTTTGGAAACATTCAAGACACATCCATCTCTTCACCAAAATACATAAGTGGAAACAACATATCACAGCCTCGCAGCCGCCAGAAAGGAAGCAGTTTTGCTACTTCTGTTGAAGCTGTCAATCGTGGAACTGCACCTGAAAAGCAAAAGGAGAATAGCCTACCTAATAGGCCAAGAAGGATATCTTGTCTGCTGTGTGAAGAGGATCACAAGTTGGAGACATGCTACAAAATGGAGAGGATGATGCACACAGAGAAAATTAGTTTTCTGAAAGAAAAGGGTGCTTGTTTTGGTCGTTTAGCTGTTGGACACATGAGTAAGGACTGCCGCAGCCGCCTGTACTGCCAAGTGTGTAATTTAAAACATCCCACCATCCTCCACATCCTTTCACAGAGAAAGGAAGTCTCATTAGAGGACATACAGCACGAAACATCAACAGAGGATCACAAAGTTTCTACCAAAACATGTGGCCATATTGGGGCTGGAAGACAGGATTGTGCTTTGCCCATTGTGCCCGTTCAGATCAAGGCTACAAACGGCAGTACAGTGATAAACACTTATGCCTTCCTAGATCCTGGTAGCACGGCCACCTTTTGCTCAGAGCGACTGATGAGGGAGCTTAAGATGACAGGAAGAAAATCCAAATTCCTGTTGAGAACAATGAATCAGGAAAAGCTTGTGGATAGTCACATCATTTCTGGGTTGGAGGTGGCTGCACTCAACAGTAACAATTACTACGAGCTACCTGATGTGTTCACACAAACTGTAATGCCTGTGACTCATGACAACATTCCAAAACAGGAAGAGTTAAGTGCATGGCCCCACTTAAACTCTGTGAAACTTCCTGTCATTGACGCTGACGTGGAGCTGCTAATTGGAGCTAATGTCTCAAAACTCATGGAACCATGGGAGGTGGTGAACAGCAATGATGATGGACCTTATGCTGTCAGAACTCTGCTAGGGTGGGTTGTCAATGGACTGCTGAGAGGAGACCGCCAAATTGTAAACAGCTGTCCCACCATTGCAGTCAATCACATATCATTAACCAGCTTGGAGGAACTGCTGGTAAAGCAATACAACCACGACTTCAGTGAGAGATCAGCTGATGAAAAGCCAGAAGTGTCCAGAGAAGTTTTTGGAAATCATGAAAAGTTCCGCCAACCTCACTGATGGACATTACAGTCTGAAATTACCTTTCAGAGAAGAGAAAGTTTCAATGCCAAACAATCGCCATGTTGCTGAACAAAGGGCTCTGTGTCTTAAAAGGAAATTCAAGCTAAATGCAACATTTAACGAGGAGTATGTCAACTTTCTGGGCGATGTCATACAAAAGGGCTATGCAGAAAGAGTGCCTGAACAGCAACTGGAAGACAGAGAAGGAAAAGTCTGGTACATCCCTCATCATGGCGTGCATCAGCCTAAAAAGGGGACCTTGAGAGTTGTGTTCGATTGTGGTGCAAGCTTTAAAGGGACATCACTGAACAGCAAGCTGCAAAACGTGTGTGTGTGTGTGTGTGTGTGTGTGTGTGTGTGTGTGTGTGTGGTGTGGTGTGTGTGTGTGTGTGTGTGTGTGTGTGTGTGTGTGTGTGTGTGTGTGTGTGTGTGTGTGTGTGTGTGTGTGTGTGTGGTGTGTTGTGTGTGTGTGTGTGTGTGTGTGTGTTGTGTGTGTGTGTGTGTGTGTGTGTGTGTGTGTGTGTGTGTGTGTGTGTGTGTGTGTGTGTGTGTGTGTGTGTGTGGTGTGTGTGTGTGTGTGTGTGTGTGTGTGTGTGTGTGTGTGTGTGTGTGTGTGTGTGTGTGTGTGTGTCCCCGTCCTGGGAGCACGGGAATCAATCAAGCTATATGGGCACAGGTGATCAGCTGGGATGAGAGGTTAGAGAGGAAGCCACACGTTTTTCAACCGTGTTGACGGTGTGTGATTGTTATGTTTTAACCAAGCTTTTAGATAGGCCTAAAAGAACATTTTAACGTTGAATAAAGCATTACAAATTACGTCATGGTGGACCTCATCCTTCATCACAACACACGTTGGGAACTCTGACTGCTAACCTCCATGAGTGGCCTTTTTTGATGAGTGATCGCCGCTACAGCGGTTATCGCCATGACACGATATATCGTTCAGCCCTATCATACATGCACAAGTATGGAACAACATAATGTTACCTCTGAAGATGCTGAAGAAACAACTCCTCAAAGTTTTCTGGAACATCTCCTTTCCCTTTTGCTTGAAGTCATAATGGCGTCTTGGAGTCACGTGTATCAAGAAATCTTCTTCTAAAGAGATTTTTCCACTCATGGCGTCACTCAGGCCGACCAGGTGGCAACACTTTTAGCGCTGTTTGGTTAAAGTCAATATCATTCTGCACTAAGGCAAAAACCAAAAAGATGTATCATCAAACTGACTACTTCTTGAACTATATTTCTTTACAAGTTGTCTTTTTTTGCTGCAAACAGATTCCTCTGAGAATTGTGCAGGGATGAGGCGAAAATAAAAGGGATGAAATTCCTCAGATCTTGAGAAAGTAGCTGACAGCGCTGCCACCGAGGTAATCTATTAGCAGTCTGACCAGGAGCTTCATCAACGCCACAAATAAGGAGTTAGACTCTTTCCCCATTTGTTTGCTTATGAGAAAAAATAACATGGCCAGGGTCAACGTCAAAGTGGACTGCTCCCCTTTTGGACTCGGTTTGCCCATCAGCCTGCCTGGAATGGAAGACATGATGCAATGTCCTGTTAGTAATCAGACCAGAGCAGCTTCTCCGGGAGCTTCACTCGAGTCCAAGTGCTGTCAGCATTTTAGTTCCTTAGAGGTGGTTGAGTTGCTGATCGATACAGCTGGTTGCTTGACTATATTCCTTGGCCGCTTCTGGAAATAAATTGGAGTATATTCCCACTGATGGTGTCCTCTTCTGGTTTGGACTTCTTGTGTAGTTCTTTGTTTCTTTCAGTCCATTAGTGCTAATTAGTAATGCAACATACTCACTGAGGATCCTTTTTTCAATAGGTCAGCATGTGGTATCTGTCTGTGACAGGCTCCTGTAAAGGTCTGTTTGTTGTTGTATAGATCCTTCGAGAAAAAATACTTCAAGATGGTTCTACTCCTCCCTATGAATGGGTAGTGTGAAGAAGTAGCGATAGAGGTTGAGCGCGAGAAAGACAGAAGTTTGACACGAGTCCAGCAAAGAGAGGAGGGATTCTTCAGAGAGATGTTGATAATTATGGGTTACTTGCGGCGTGTTCCTCTCTGAGTCCTGGTGAACTCGCTGTCTGAGGTGTAGCAAGTGTACACGAACTTGGAGAGACCACACCTGTTTACAACTCTCCATCCAGGTTGCCCTCGGCAGCAGGAGATGCCACAGGGAGGCAAACACTCAGGTTGCTAAGTTACCATCTCTCAAGAGACCTTGATATGCCAGTAGATCATCACACACAAGCAATGTAAAAAGTGTTTATTTTTCAACTTGGTAGAATGAGTTATTGTTTAAATAAAAATGAATATGAACATATACAGTCGGCCTTAGCAATAACTCTGTATTATCATATTAAGGCTTAGGGTCTATATGTTTTAGATTTTTTATGTCATTTGAAATAAGCATGATTTCCATTGGGTTTTGAACTTTTGCCAATTGTTACTGGTACATTTTAGTCCTTGCATTGAGGGTATTTTTGTAAACTAATGGTGTCTCCATATTTAAAAGTATATTACTGCTAGTCTAATGTAATGCTGCCTCTGCTCCATACTGTAATACAATATTCATTTTCTTGCAGTGGGGATCTACAGTATTTGGTTTTATGACAAGAGGGACTGTCAACGCATCGCCCAGTTAATGGTCAAGTGAGTATCCAGACATGTGTATATTGTATCTGAATTTAGATGAAATAGAGCTCTTAATAGTCTAAGACAGGGGTGCCCAACCGGTCGATCGCGGGGAGATTCCCAGTCGATCGCGAGATGTGTCTAAAAATAGAACAACAATATTCTGTTTTATCGTTAATGTCCTGTACCATAATCTTCCTGTGCCAGAATAATGCACTTGAACGCATCAAAGCTTTGTGATTGGCCGGCGTGACCCCACGTGTCGGGGCGTGGCTGGTGAGCAGTGGGCAGTGCACTAGTTCGCTAACGTTGTCCGTGTCAACAGGAGTGACAGTCCGCACACAAACAAGACCGCAATTATGGCAGAAGCAAAACATATATAATTTTCACTCCGAGTGGGAGGATGATTATTTTTGTATCTATTCCAATTCAAAGTCCATCTGTCTCATCTGCAATGCGAGCGTGGCTTTATCGAAGAAGGGTAATTTAGGAGCGGCATTTCAAAACAGTGCACAAACGCTACGAGACGGAATTCCCTCCTAATTCTGCCCTACGCTCCAAAAGGGGAGGGGCCTGAAAGGACAGCTAAATGCACAGCAGTCCCTTTTCACCAGGCCCAACAACAAGAGCAAGGCTGCTACCATAGCATCTTATCGTGTCAGTCACGTTCTTGCGAAACACATGAAGTCTTTCAAAGACGGCGAAGTTGTGAAAGAAGCATTCCTGGAGGCTGCTGACGCGCTTTTGGGGGACAGTAAAAATAACAGTAGCATTTCAACAGGTTTTTGATATAATACAAACTCAAGTTAGATACCGTTATTAATCAGCTGTAAGTTTTAGTTTGTTTGAACTTATTCATTATAATTATTGTACAAAATGGTATAAGAATGCAAACTTAAATTGATTATAGTCTATTATCAATTCAGGTTAAGAAACTAGTGTTGCTTGCATCCTATTTTAAAGGCATTTATTTTTATAATCTACTAAAATGCAACAAAAAAAGGGTTTGATTCTATTAATTTTGTCTTTTTTATTGCACTTTGGCAGCAGATTCCTGTGTAGCTTCAGATCTGAGTTGTCTTATTAGTAAGCCTAATTTATACTTTTGTAGCAACACTATTTTTATATAATGGCAAAGAAAGGGTTCAGAGTCTTTTCTTGTTTTCCTGTGTCATATGTGGCAGCACTGTTCAATGTTTCTTAAAAACATTACCCACTGTAGTATGTGACGTGTGAATAAACTCCAACTCCGTATCAACAACACTGTTGTGTAACTTCAGTTGAATACTTGTATGTGTGTAGATTAGAAAGAGGTAAGATAAAGGATCTGCAGTATGTTATGAAGTATTAATCGTACGAAGGTCAGTTTTATACAAGTAGAAGTGTGTATTTACCTGGTAGTAGGCTGTCAGTAACTACGCCTCTCTATTTGGACTGGTAGATCTCGGCAGACTGGCAATTTTAAAAGTAGCTCTCGGTTCAAAAAAGGTTGGGCACCCCTGGCCTAAGATGATTATTTAATAGAGCAAATAACAGTTGGATGTTTAGACTACATGTGACACTATGCTCCCCCAGGATTGTGAAACAGGAGGCGGAACACGCCCGGAGAGAGTCTCCAGAGAGGGCCGCGCCGGGGAGGAGCAACGGGGTCGCAGAGCCGCGGCCCATCGACATCCTGGAGCTGCTCAGCAAAGCCAAGGAGGAGTACCAGAGAGTGAGGAGGCACACACACACACACACACACGCGCAGTAACATGTTATCCAGGTTCTTTATTTCAAATCAAATCCAGGGATGACGTCTGAATGTGTGACTGTGTCCATTTAATTATATTTATTATCTGTTGTGTGTGTGTGTGTGTGTGTGTGTGTGTGTGTGTGTGTGTGTGTGTGTGTGTGTGTGTGTGTGTGTGTGTGTGTGTGTGGTGTGTGTGTGTGTGTGTGTGTGTGGTGTGTGTGTGTGTGTGTGTGTGTTGTGTGTGTGTGTGTGTGTGTGTGTGTGTGTGTGTGTGGTGTGTGTGTGTGTGTGTGTGTGTGTGTGTGTGTGTGTGGTGTGTGTGTGTGTGTGTGTGTGTGTGTGTGTGTGTGTGTGTGTTGTGTGTGTGTGTGTGTGTGTGTGTGTGTGTGTGTGTGTGTGTGTGTGTGTGTGTGTGTGTGTGTGTGTGTAGTGTGTGTGTGTGTGTGTGTGTGTGTGTGTGTGTGTGTGTGTGTGTGTGTGTGTGTGTGTGTTGCAGGCTCAGGTGGGTGAAACCGATGTGTCTGCAGAGCTCAACCTGAAAACAGCTTTCACCGCCACAGAGCAGAGCACACCGAAGGCTGAGAAGGTACAGACGTTACACCAACATGTATGCAAAGCTCTGGTGTATATTAATATGTGTCTTCCTGTGAGCCCCGACATACGGAGAATCTGGAGGATAACAAAAAGAGAGGGTGCATGTTTTCCTCTCGGGTGCCAGACTTTAAAAAAACAATTGAGTTTGGAAAAGATCCCTTTTTTTCAGAGCAGAAAGAAAGCTTTTTTTCATATATATACATAGGGATTCAACAAAGACGCTTAGCACTTCCTCTTGTTACATTCAAACTGCACTAAACTGCAACATTTCAATATCACGGATATATCATTTAAGACATATCTGGCTCTTATTTGGATATATCTCCTAGCTAGGAAATCTCCTAGCAGCTTAGGAGATTTCTTCTCCTAAGCTGAAGAAATCTAAATTTTTCTGCTGTTATTAGAAAACGTATAACTTACCCCTAAGCCATTTGAGTGCCCCTTTTTTCCCTCCCCATATGATTTATATTTAAATTAATCAATAAATTGCTTTATGTCAAAGTACTCATTTTGATGTTTTAAAGAGAGGGAAGCGGCAGGTTCCCCCCCTGCTGAGTTTCAGCATTTCTCTGTATGTTTGTTTCTCCCCACCGCTCTCAGATGTGTTCTCTTTCCCCCCCAGAGCTCTCATACGATGGTGAAGCAGATCACAGTTGAGGAGCTCTTTGGCTCGTCCCTCCCTAAGGGCCCCTCTCTACCCATAATGCCCACACAGAACTCCAGCACTGCTTCCAGTGACCCCTCCACTGCCTACCTCCAGAACCAGCCTTACCCCACTCCAGCCCTCCAGACCCCGCTCTTCCCTCCCCATCACTCATCCCAGGACCCTACGTCAGGTCACCGGCACCAGGTCCCCGGCCTGCTCCCAGCTCCGTACGCACTGCAGCCCGGCTCTGTTTTCCAGTCGGCGGTCCCCAGGTCGGACCCCCAGCCGCGGTGCTCAGTGTCCCCCCTCATGGTGGTTCCAGCCGGCCCAGAGCCTCACGATGCACCATCAGCACCTCCTACGGCGTATTTGGGACAAGACATGCTCGCCACCCTCAAAGCGGCGGTGCCCTCGGTGAATCATGACCTCCACAAACCCATCCTGGCACCCAACTTCCTGCCAAACAGGCTGTTCACCCCCCACAGCTTCCAGGAGCCCGCGGTGAGACCCTCCCTCCAGCACAGCAAGGAGATGGATGTCTTCTCTCAGCCTCCAAACCTGATCAAACCCATGTCGGTGAGTTCAACGAGATTCTTAACAGCTGTTTTTGTGAATCCGTTTGCTGACCTCAGCGTCTTGTCTGTTATTATATACTCCATCAAATGACATAATCAAGTATACTGTTCTTATGTCATAACTCCTTTTATGTTTCCATTCTCAGGCTGTCCCCATGAGTCCTGGTTTCGCTGTTCCAGGGCCAGCCTTTTCTTTGCTTCTCTCCCCCAGCGCCTTCCAGCAGTCCTTCAGTCAGACGTCAGCAGCATCAGCGGCCCCCCCTGCCCCCACCGAGCAGGCAGCCTGCAGCAAAACACAGCTACAGGACACTCTGATACACCTCATCAAGGTACATAAGGGGAATACGACACGTAAAAAAAGTGGTACTGTCGTCCTCAGAGTTCCCGTTAGAATATTTTTCCGCCGGTCAACATGTCCGTTAAAGTTTAAATCTTCCGGACAAAATGTGAAAAGTGCCGGTCAAAGGTCTTCTTTGTTATTTATTGAGCTTTAAAACAAATTGATGATTCGATATTAAACAAACTAACTATAGTAGATTAACTATTCAAAAGTGTACAGTAACTTACAATAACACAGGAATAATAAATGGAGCGCTCTCTCCCTCTCCTGACAGCCCGTCAGTCTCATGCAGCTCGCGGATCCAGTAATGAGTGCAGAGCTGCGTGTCGACTCCTCAGCAGCAGCTGATCTCTCTCTCCTGTCAGATTAGACTTCACTCGCGTTTATGTCCATATCGATCAGATCCAGCTAGTTCTAGCTAATGATAGGACTACCTGCTTATTAAAAGACACCTAAACAATAAGCGTCGCTATGCAACCGGGTGAGGCCGCAAAGTATAGCGCAGCATTATGCATTTGTTTACATGCCCACCGGAACCCCGAGGCATTACCAACAGATCAACGCACAATCAACCCATACAGGACATCTCTTTCTCTACATTAAGTGTTAGACATTAGAATTGACTATTCTTGTCTGTCACATACTCTTCTTGTCTGTCACATAAGTGGCGCAACTGAAGCGGTATTGCGCTAAAGGGAAATTATTTTGACCGGACACTTTGACCGGAGAGATTTAGATTTGCCGGTCTTCAGCATATTTTACCGGTCATATTCCGGTAATTACCGGCTAACGGGAACTCTGGTCGTCATATTGAAGTGGAAAAATCTCGAACCTGTTTACTATTACCATACCATTATTATTTCAAATGAAAGACTATAGTTGCAAAACATTCTGTGCTCCAGAGCATGAGATCTCTGATAGTTTGGGAACTTTCAGGGCAGACAGTTACTGATTGGTCAAACACAAACAAACCATGCGGCAGCTACTTTAATATTCACAACAAAAAAAGTAAAGAGTACAATAAAAATGAAAGTGCACATTTCTTGGTATTTATTAAGCCTGATTACAAACTAAGTTTAAAAATATAGTTTAACATGTTTTACAAATATAAAATTCAAATTTATTTCAGGAACTTTTTGGTCTGAAATTGACTATTTGAGTTTTAGAGCGATCTGTAAATCTGATGTAATATTGTTGAGTTGCAGTAGAATTTTTATTTCTATTTTGAGAAATGCAATAGCAACTTTTTGCTGAAAAAAGGGTTCCAAAGAAATCAATTGACGACATCATGAGATATAATCCTGAGTTACAGGGATTCTGATTCTGAAAAGGGATTGTGCTGTTAATGTTTTATTTTAAAAGCCTTTTAAACAGTTTAGACATACAAACAGTTTATCACTGTCATCTTAAATTGAATTCCTCCCTCGTCTCCTTTTTCCCTTGTAGAGCGACCCAGACTTCCTCAGTGCAATTCATGATGCGTACCTGCAGAGTGTGTCCAAGGACTTCAGCAACATGAAGCTATAGTCTCCTCAGCCATCACCACTGTCCCTCTCACAGACCTTGAGGAATCCACGATGAAACGGGAGCTAAAGGAAGAGAAGCTAACAGGTTGTCCACACACTGCACAGCGGCCATTAAGCCCTCTGCTCCTGACTCTGAACTCTGATGCTTTCCCCCGTTGGCTTGGATCAGTTTACTGCCTGTTTATTCAAACTGAACTCATGTGGAAGATAACGTTGAGATATAACGTCCCAGTGTGGCCTTGACTTTTCATTTCAACTTTGTAAATGTGATCCAACGGTCGACCGCTCACTGGTGAAGTGAAGCTGCGGACGGGACCACAGTGGAGCGAACCATTTTTCATTTGACCTTGGGAAGGATGATTTGGCAGCTTGAACATTATGGAGATCACAGACAAACTGTCCCACTGTGGCGTTAAAAAGGACGACTCTCTTTCCCTTTGTCCCTTATTGAACTTTCTCCTTCAGAGTAATGCTGCCATCTCCTTTACTGTGGCAATGTGTCTTTGTCAGTGTTTCATAAAAAGGAGGAGATTGTAGAGGAATATCTTTTCAACCATGGTCCGAGGAAGATAAAAAAAGTTTTTGTCTGGAGAAGCACTTTCTGCTCAATCTCATATTCAGTTCCTCTTAAAGGAACTTCTTTGCTGCCTTTCCTTTCTCCATGTCCCCATTCCTTGCTCTTTCTCCTCGTCTCTCCTCCACCCTCTGAGCTCAGTGCGTCATGTCTCGGAGGGGAGCGTGCAATAAACGACAGTCACGATGCCTTTAGGGAAACCAGCATTTGGGGATACTTTAGCAAGGTACGGTAGAGCTCAATGTATCTGAACCTCTGGGTTCTGGTTGCGCAACAACTTAAATATGAGGAAACATTTGCAATTGGTTTATGAATATTGTTTGCATTCACACCTTAATATTTAATTTCCTAAAGAAATAGAAGGCTGATATGCTTCAGTATGATTCAACCAGTTTCTGCTAATAATCCAAGAATTATATAATCATTCCTGTTTCGAGATTTATTTTTCGAGAGCGCAGTTACTTCACAAAGACTTGAAGACAAAAATATTAGTGGTGACATGTATTTTTTTTTTTGCAGTATAATGCTACTGCAGCACAGAAACGTAGGTAGGCCCTACAGACGCAGTGGGAACAGGATTGAGTGGTTTTTGAACAAAGAAAGCTGAAACTATACATCAGAAAAATCAGCTCAAAGATTAAGAGGAAAATGTTTTGTGTGACTTGTGGGCATTTTTGAACAGATCACTAACAGGTTTCCTTTTCCATGTTGTTTAATATTCAGCATGAACAAGACCATTAAACAGTCGGTAAAAGCACGAATATTTAAGTTATCGGCCTTTTTAAATGTTTGATGTCAGTAGTCATGTTACTGTTCAGAGGTCTATATTAAAGTAGCAATCAATATAAAAATTCACTCCAGAAACTTTAGAAGTAGAAATGTTTCTTTTTTTGTGTGCTGCAAAACATTTTTTGCTACGGCTCTTTTTCATGTGAGCAACATTTGAAAAATACCTATAAGGGAGTCAGATTAAATTCTGCTGAATACACGTTTTGATGACTCCACAACATTGCATTTGGACTGCTATTTGAATGTATTTTGATTAATCACAGTATGTTTGTGCCTGTCTTGTTTTCCTCTGTCCTGAATATTTAGGTTGACCACTACATGATTTCAGTACCAGCTGTTAACCACATGATCTTTTTTTTGCAAATCAAGACTCAAAGTACAAGGGTGCTAAATCAAATAATGTGAATACTTATTTGCCCCGTTATCATTTTCATTTCAGAAGAAATCTTGCCAACACGTCTGGCATGTGTTGGGTAAATAAACGCGCACAGGACAAATGATTGAAATGTCGATTTTTTTTTTTAATCCCGGTCAGATATTTAAGATTTTAAGGCTATTTTACGCTTTCCTATAGTTTATCTTATTGGCCCGATATATGACTTTGGGAAAGTCTTTGCAAATCATATACATTTTTCCAAGAGTGTTGCAACTGTATATCATTTTGACTATTTTGTGATAATAAAGAACTGAACATATAGATGCCTGTGTTTTTTGTTTGCCAGAGTTGCAAAAAGAAGCTTAAAAACAAAAAAATTATTGTGATCCTTCATTTTTGTGTTGAGTTTTAAACAAATTAATGAATGTTGTGACTAAACATTTACGTTTTCCAAAGGTTATTTCTATTTTATTCGTTTGTTCCAGTGAGTTTTGTAATACAGCAAAACTCACTGTCCCTTAGGGACAGAGGGTTTCTTATACTTCGTGTTTTTCAGTACAGGACAATGATGCAGTTTGTTGCTCTGACCACCAGATGTCACTAGGTGCACACTGTTCTACAGTTTTCACACTGAACATTACATTGTTATCAGTTGGTATCAGGCCCATGCAGTGTTTATTTCACCAGATACCATAATCTATCTGTTCTGGTTCTAAGCGACAACACAAATGTCTATCTTTCTCATAGGGGCCATATCGACTGAATTGAAAGCAGACGCTGTTATTAGCTTTTGAGTCACCCTGCAGCCCCCCCCCCCCCCCCTACTGGACAAATGGTATCCTAGCCTACATGAAAAATACAAGATCACAGTCCTCTAAAATGAACCTTTTAATAACTGTAAATTCTATACCACTCTAGTCTATTTGGTAACTACAATCGATCTATCTGTGTGACTACTCACCTGAATGTCATGTGAGTGCCTGTTCAGGTGGAGCTCTACTGCAGCTAATCAGTTTATATGTCATTAAGGTAAGATTAATGTTATTAAGGTAAGATTTGCGATCCTTCCTGTTGCATGTCACCCTTCCTTCCTCTATCACGTAAATGCTGTAGCGTCACAGGGCAGGTACACTTAATTGTTTAAATGGATTGTATCACACTTAGTTGTATCTGATATGTGTCTATGTTTGCCCTTCCAACTTTTATTAATGTCAATAACACCGCATTTCAGCTGATTTCCGGAACCTATTTGGAAAATCCTCATTTATTTGAAAGACATTATTAATTGTTCAATGGTGATGGAAGTTTGTGACAGATAGTGACTGAATGTAAAGATAAACTAAAATACCGATAAATTACATTATACATTTTGAACTAGGGCCTATATAATTTCATTATACCAGCTCTTTGAGAACAGTTAATCTTGAAATGCAACATTGCAACTTTAGTGCTTTCCTTGATATGTTTTTTCCGTTTATTTTCACTCTTCTGCTTATGTCTTCACTGTGTCATCATCATCATCAGATACAATATGGAGCTGTATATGTTGAACCTGAGGCTGAGCGTCCCTGACTGTGTGAGCGTGCACCTGCTCGTGAGAGTGTGCGTGTGGCCTTGGTCTCAGCCCAAAGCCCTCCCACTGTTCAATGTGCTCATGCGTGCCAGTTTGAGTAACCGTGTGCTGCTTTTAGCCCCAGATTAGCCATATTCATAGGCTCTGCTTGCGGACACGCCCCCTCCTGCTCCCTGTCTGTCAGGTTCAAAACCACTGCCTCTTTTTAACCCCTGCCACTGTCCGCTGCACACCCATCGCCTCTGTTCTCGTGACAACAGACCGGGGACTTTTAACTCTTTAACTTAATTTGTGTGTACGTGTGTGCTTTCTACGTTGCATCGGCCAGATGGAGGACTACCATAAACCAGACCAGCAGACGGTGCAGGCGCTCCGGAACATCGCGACCCGGCTCCGGATCAACTCCATCAAATCGACAACTGCAGCTGGCAGCGGGTAAGAGGGGGAACACGGAGGAATTAAATAAGACTGAACATATGGTATTGCAAAACAAAACAAAACAAGGTTATTGCCCCGGGACAGTTAATATATGATCAATGCACTTGAATTATTATAAACGCAGGCGCGAATGTACACAACAAAGCCAGTTTTCGTTTTGTCCTGATGGACCGACTCACTGTCCCCATCAGACTGCGTGCAGGAGGATCAGCAGAATAAAGCTGCACGTGAGAATATTTGCGCTCAGTGTGACGTAGAAAAATTGACTAAATGTTCTAATGTTATTGTAAGTAAAATAGTTGTGTGCCAAAATGCATTGTGCGTAATTTACGCACTTGTCAAGAAAGTAGGCTTGCAAGGTGTTAAGGATCAGAGTTAATCTAATTTGCATGATTTACGATAATTTCTGAGGGATATGATACTCATGAAATTAAATTAAACTGACTTTTTTATTTTTGTAAAACCGCCCCTTCAATACCGTGCACTATTTAAAACATAGGGTCGTATTTGGTTCGGCATACATTGCTGCAGGTGCACAGTGTTCCGCTCACTCTTAACCCTTTGCGTACGCTGGTCGTTTAGAGGAGGGGCAGGGGCTCGAGCGGTACATGCTCTCGTGCAGGCAGCGGTCCGGGGAGCGCGCGCTGCTGCCTCCCCGCGCCGATGCGAGTCGTCCCACCAACGTCAATTAGCTATATTTACATAGGTCCAATGAGACATTTCAAAATAAAATTGCAAGTGAAAGAAAATAACAGATTAAAGAATAAAATGTAAGACAGTGGAAATGTTCCTGTGTGTGCTTTTTATTTTATTCCAATTTATTCCAATATCCCACGTGTCGAATGCTACACGGTATAAATATGTTGTATTTATTAGTTGCATTGGAGATGTTTGACCTGCAGTAACTGTGTTTATTGCCCTCGTTTTGCTTCTCTTATTCGTGTTTTCTGTAGTTATTGATGATTTTTGACTGAGCACTACTTTTCTTTAAATCAATTCAGAGACTCTCAATGAGTAGACTAAACCTTAAGTAGCTGATTCAAAGTCAATCATAAGATGTTCAATAATGCAATTCCAGTTTGATCACTGAAACATGCTTACTGTATGTAGCTTACATTTTTGGCTTATATTCATGTTTAATTTATTCCATTCTTTTATCACAGCCAGTGGTCACGTTGCATCGCTCACCTCATATCCTGTCATCAAACATGACATCTATTTATCATGTCCTTTAGGATTTTTGCTTTTATTCATTTTTTTCATTATTTGTTCACTTTTTCCCTTTTCAGCAAAGTAAGGACAATGCCCTTCATGGAAGAGGCCTGAGTGAGGTATTATAGGCATGTGGTTTGAAAGTAAACAGAATAACAACATTTGACAAATAAAACATCATAACCACATGTTAAAAGGTCTTGGCATTACTGTGTGGTACTACAGTTTGAATTATGTCTGTATGTGTGCATGTATAAGAGAGGGGGGCTTCCTCCAAATGTATGTACACTTCTTGTGTGTGTTAGACCAGTGGTTCCCAAACTTTTTGTGCCCAAGGCACACCAAAGGACAAGTAAAAATCTCAATGCACCCCTATTGTGCAAAATAGCCCTTATAACACGTGTTATCACTCATATCATGTAAAATATCTGTAAATGTGCATAAATATTTACTAATGCCAAATAAAATGTGACAAAGACAACTATATTACTCATGAAATATTTATTAACAAAATATTTCAGAAATTAATTTGAAACTTTATCAAATTAGGTTTCATCAAAGCAGCAACACACTCATTTAAACCAGACAGGTCACAAAATTAAAAATGAGGCAAAGGAAATTCAGCACAGAGAACTGTCAATGCAAGGAAGCTGCATTGTCCATGGTTCTGAACTACAAATTATAAATGTAACATTTCAGCAATCAGCATTGAAACATGTGCTATTGTAAATATTTTTGCCGACTTACAAATTAGTGAGATACATCTGCCTGTCGGGGCGCGCAGAATTTTGTAATCCTTGGTGGCACTGAGGAAAGAGCCACTCGCAAGTCCTGTTCAACAGAGCCGTGACCTCCTGTTGTTCTTCATGTAAATCATAGTAGAGAACGCCAACTCCAGAGATGGGGTCGTTACTAAAAAAATGTAATATATTACATATTACTTTATTTTTAAAAGTAATATAGCACTACTTCGTTACTATCTACATAAAGTAACTCGTTACTTTACTCGCCGAGCACGTACGAACTGCGCATGCGTGAGTGGCAATAACTTTCCTTACCAGCAGGCGGCGGTAGTGTGTATTTGTCATTCAAAACAGGCAACAACCGGAAGACAGAGAAGAAGAACAGACTACGTGATATAAACAAACAACAAATAGCTTGTACGCTAGCTTCACTTTAGCATGTGTTCTTTGCAGGTGCTTGTTGAGGTTTGACGTGGTGTTTACAGCAGTGGATAACAGATTTTTTCCTGGACACAGTTTGCACCTCACCGTCACATTCCTGTCTATTCTTCGGACGAACTCAAAAATAATGGGCATACCTCCACCCCTCGAAAGTTATCACTGACTCAGCCATGTTAATGCAGCACTGCACGTGGAGATGTGGACGCGCAAATCGCGCAGATTACGTACATATAAACCTACAAAGTACTGATATAGTAAATAAAAAATAATTATTTGTTGTGTAGTTGTATATTGCAATAATAATGTATGGTTGTCACAAAATCCCACGGCACACCCGGACTTGCCTCACGGCACACCATTTGGGAACCACTATGTTAGACAGCGAGAACACTGTATATTTACATACTGCTTGTCTGACCCTGATAAAGTCAGTCTCACTAGCATACTGTCTGTCTTACATAACTCTGACTACAGTGGGACTGGCATGAATTAACCCTCTACATCCACGTTGACAAAGTGTCCAGCTTGACTTCTAGTTTTAATCCCTTTTTCTGCATATGTGTGCTTTTGGAGTACAACAGTGGAAGCAGGGGGCACATCAAGTTTTTCATTTGATTTTCAGTGTGTCTAATTCCTTTTTGTTTGCAGTCATCCCACATCATGTTGCAGCGTATCAGAGATCATGTCTGTGCTGTTCTTTCATACCATGAAATACCGACCTGAAGACCCCCGAAACCCCAACAGCGACCGCTTCATCCTCTCCAAGGTACACACACACACACACACACACACACACAGAAGGTGTTCCTCCTATGAATGCCCAGCGACACCATGACCTACTTATAATTTAATACACATCTTGTGAAAATGCGCATGTGTTATGCAAGCCCTCATGCATTTTTTAATAGTGTTTG